AAATGGGTTAGATGTTTATCATGTGATTTACAATAACCAATAGTCAAAAAACAATAATGAATGACGCACCTTATATGTTGGGCTAATGCCCAAGTTTCGCAAACGCGCCGTAATGTTAAGCAAGGATATAAACGTGATAAGAGATCAGATATTTATGACTTTGGCGTGATACTCTGAGAAATTTCAAGCGAAACAATTTCAAACTTTCGAATCAAGGATGGAGCTCTGTTTTCATATTTATCAAGGAAAAAGAGAAGAACCTATAGGAGGTACACCATCTCAATATATTGAACTTTACAAAAAATGTTGAGAAACGATCCTGCCAATCGTACAAAAGCAAGATCAATTCTCTATACTTTAAAACAACTTATTCCTAACGAAACTTTGAGTTAACACTAACCTATTGAAATAACTTCTCACAATAATGAAATTTCTTCAAATTGTCAAGGCAATATAAACGCACTCGCCAATTCACTTAAATTACTCATCTCTTTATTTATTTTATACGATAAATTAGTGCATGATAATAGTAGTTTTCTTGGGAATTGAAAAAGAAAACATGTGAATATAAGTGCACTCATTACTTTACTTGAAATTATGACATTATTTACCAAATGTGATAAATTCAAATATTTCAGCGCAGGAATTTGAGAAAAGGACTTGAATATTTCTCCCAACGTAAAATCCTCAAGGCATTGGAACTTTTCAAAGAAATTTTCAAAATGATCAACATAGTCCTGAAGATAAAAGTGTTTTAACATGGGATCTCTCTTATAATAAATTTGGATTAGAAAATTTAAATGAGTTAACGAGACACTTTCTAAAAATATTATACTGAAAGATTTGAATCATCGAGAGAATAAGTTTAGATCAGAAGAAGGGAAAGCATTAGCAAATGCTTTTTGCATGAACACCACATTAACTTCTTTGATCTTTACGATAATAATATTGGATCAAAAGGAGGAAAAGCATTAGCAAATGCACTGTGCATGAACATATCTTTAACTTTGTTGAATCTTCAATATAATAATATTGGAAAAGCATTAGCGGATACACTTTGCAAAAATACCTCCTTAACTTCTTTGAATCTTTACAATAATAATCTTAGATCAGATGGAGGGAAAGTATTAGCCGATGCACTTTGCAATAATATTTCTTTAATTTCTTGGAATTTTTATTATAATAATCTTGGATCAGAGGAGGAAAAGCATTAGCAGATGCACTTTGCAAGAGCATCTCCTTCTAGGGTATCCAATGCACTATGTAAATCAAATCTAAGTAATGTCTATATGATACATTTATATGATCGGATTTTTTTGT